CTTTATGTAAATCAATATACTATTATTGTTATTTGAATGTTTTATATTTGATTTATCAATAAATGCAGAAACATCTGTTAAAAAAATATATATATATATAAAAAGTTTCAAAATCTTCGGGCGGGACAGGGAATGGGGCTGAGCCTACAATAGCGTCCCTACCTCGTACGCCTACATTCTATGAGCCGATAATTTTTCCTTTGAAACATCTGATGGAATAATTTTTAATAGATTATCATGGAAATGGATGACCAGACAGCTCTCTCAGCTCTCATACATATTCAATACTGATAGTTCGGATTTAAGTTTGAAAACAATTACAATCAGGTTCCTTTGTTTACCATTTCACTCTTACTGAAATGTCAACCACACACGGCTTTGAATTTGAGCAAATATACCTTCCCAACCCACCCAGACTGGCAAAATGTCAAAAGCAAGTAGTTTATCTGGAAGTGTGTGGGAGATACTCAAACTTGAGTGGAATCTCGAATACCCACACCTATTGCCACTCGTTGGAGGTTAACCCTCTCTATACCAAGCGCAGAAAGCTGTGTGTTGTGTTAATGGCATTGTGGACTATGTGGGAAAGAAGACGTTATTGAATAATCACAGAAAAGCAGTGACACTGTACGTGCAGAAGCTGACTGCTATTCGGGTCAGCACTTTTAATTACGATCGTGTGTTGCAATGACTGTGGCTCAAAAATTAATAAACAAAACTTTGATGAGGTTTATATGTTACAAAGCCGGAAAATGTTAGGGGCTATTTATTTGTTGTATTGATTGCATTTCTTGTTATCTCATAAAAAGATCAAATCTGTTTACATTCAACGTATACAATTTTAAGATACACATTTAAAAATGTTAATACTTACCTAAGTTATGAAAATGTAAAATTTGAAGAAAACTATTGTTGTTTAAAGATAAAGTTGTTAGGGCCATGTATTGATAGAAACAGTATGGAATCGGTCAAAAAAAGTTGATCGAGCAGCATCTAAATATTGGTGTGTACTGCAAGGTTCTGGAGTCATCAAAGTGATAAGAAATTTGGCCCAGTCTTGGTAAACGCAGAAAAATGTATATGGGACTACACAAACACGTGGCATAAAATCGGGAATCACTTCATATTTACAATATAAAAGCATTTGAAGAGCCATGCTTTTCAGGGGGAAATGGCTCTGATGATGTTCTTCCACACTTGCATAGTAACAATGTCTACGCTCACAAATTGTTTTTAACTCTCCCTAGAACTCAATTTTCTGTTTAAGCTAATTTTAGTTTACAGAAAGAGTACATACATGGTAGTATGTCTGCAAATAAAAGCCCACTGAATGTCATCCAAAGTATACATGTACTTCACAATACCACCATCAACATCACTAACACGATCATCATCACCATCACCATCACCCTTACCAAAAAAAAAACCCAAATGGTACTACCAAGGTATACCATGGTACCACTATGATACAAACAGTACGACCATGGCTCTATATTAGTAGTGTATCATAATGATTGTAATGGTAGTACCATGGTATAGGCGCGTACGCAGAGGGGGGGGGGGGGGGGGCGGGGGGGTGGTGTTTTGGGGGTTTAAACCTCCCTCAATTTTTTTTTTGGTAAAAAATAAGAATACTCCTTAGTCCTTACTACAATCACCATTAATCTAACCCCACTATCATAATCACCGTCACCATCACTATAAACATTATTATCACCACTACTAAAACCCTCATTATCGTCACCACTATCACTACCACCATCGCCAATACCGTCTGTATTTGTTAACATTTACTTTTGAACTTTTCTATTTAATAAGATAAAATTTAAAAAAATTAACTTTCGAAGTACAATTAGATTAATTCAGTGTTAAAACAAGAATGGTATATCTTCTTCATGTTAGCCTTCTTGCTAAATTTACGAAACACTTGTCAGGCATGTATACTGTCCGCTTTGAAACTTTCTGTAATTACCTTTTTGTTGTTGTTGTATGTACCTTCCTCTGTCAATCTGGTAAGGAGGGCCATTTTCATCTAAGGTTTGTTTCTGTCTTCATATTTATCTCATGTTTAAAGTTGTTTTTTGCCACCTGCTATTGAATATGCCCCTGGATGGACAGAACTCCTGAAGTTATGAACCGACATCAAACACTTTACAAAGAATACTACGTCATACGTGCCAACATTTGACAGATGAGGTCTGTCGACTGCTTGTAAAACAAAGAATATGCAAATATAAATCGCGTGTTATCACCATTAACAACTCTTTTGTTTTAAGGAATGAAAAAGGGGTAGATCGATCATACTTCAAAAGTGTTAATTGGTGCCACGAGATCAAATAACTGTCTGAGTGATATATAGACATGTCGTTGGTGTATGATTAAACGTGATGTCGCAATAGATCCCCAGGTTTAGATCAGAAAGTTAAATTGGTAAAGCGGTTCGAGTGAGCAGGTATTTCAGAAGGTTTAAGATTCAAATGACGTTTGTATATATATATTTTTTTCTATAATGCAAACTGTGCAGAGAAGTCAGCGGTTCATGGCTAACTAATCTTGAAAATGAAGAAGTATTTTTTTCTTTTTTAAAATGAAAATTAATATAATTTACCAAAGAAGAACATGCCGCGCGGGTGTGTTAAAAAATTCTATATATATGTTTTTTTTGTTACATTGAAGTCAAGTCAAGAAGAAGTACCATAAACCATTTCCGTTTTCGATAATAATTCAGCTTTCTGATAATGTAAGTATTCATTTGAAAATATTCACCTTTCTGGAGAGATACTAAGCTCTGGTTAATTTAAGTCGGACGTAGATTTAAAAATGAATCGTAGAGGAGACTAAGGTGTCTTGTTCATGTTTTTTATCGAAATGCCCTTGAAAAACAACCATCTTGGACCAGCTTGAATAATCTTTGGAATTATAATTAATTAATCGTAAGTTACATGTATGTCAAATCTATTATACACTTTATTCAATAAATTGTCCATCAAAGTTGAGGTTATAATAAGTACTGTGATATAAAGTTTGTAAAGATTTCTTTAAAAACATATTTCCATTTATCTAATACAAAGTCGGGAGAAATTAATTAAAAAAAAGTTTACTTTTATATGACACTGTATCAGTTTAAAATATCTTGCTTAAATGTTTGTATAGTACTCTTTTAAGTGAATATATGAATGTTGCTTATGTCAAGTAAACTGCAACTAAAAATACGAAAAAGAAAAATATTGTATTCATGATAATTTTATGACTAGGCATAACTGTAACAAGACTATTGATAAAATTCTAGCATAAAAAATAAGTTATGCTTATTGGGATATTAACACATTATGGCGCAATCTTCCTGTAACACTCCCACACACGCACACCAATGCAGCCCATGCACAGGTTTTCCCCTCCTCTCTGTCGCTCTCGTTCTATCACTCATTTAATTATTTTCTCTGTTTCTCTCTCTCACCATCAATAAGTCATACACTCTCTTTCTAACACACACACACGCACACATCGATAATATTTTCTAATTGTAGAGTTCGCGGAGAGACAAAACACACTTAGTTTGTTTTGCTTCATGTCAGTACTTACGCATTTCTTTTTTTAATGAACAAGTAAAGTGCAATGAAAACAATTTCAGTAGCTGTCTGAGAGAAACATCCACGCAACGACTGCGTGATAGGAGATGACACGTCGGGATAATTTACTTTTTTTTATTTCGGTAATGAAAATCACTTTGATTGAAGGACATCCCTTCCCGGACTAAACACTAGCACAAACATAGGAACTTAGCAGTGGACGGAAACGATACCAAAAATAGAGGGGGGGGGGGGGGGGGGGGGATTGACTAGATTTATCCTCTAAAATGTTTCTACTTATTAATTAAGGACAATCTCAGTTTTACGTCGATCCATTAATCTCCTATTTATTCATGCTTTCGTCATTATACATATTCTTTTTCTTCTTCTCCCTTTGCTTCCTTTCCTTTATTATTATTATCAGTATCATTATTGTTGTTGCTATTAATATTACTTTCATTGTATTTATTATTATTTTTATTTCTATCATTATTACCATCATCATCATCATCATCATCATCATTATTAATATTATTATTAATTTATTATGACATCGGCGGTTGAAAATGGTGCTTCGGGTATCACTGAAAATACTTTATCATATCCTTGTTTTGTGTAATATATCAAATGTCCCGAGTCTCTTTTTAAACCTTAAATAAATGTAGACCTATAATACATGTAGGTTCTTTTGTTTCACTTCTTTTACATTATCTTCCTGTATCTCGTTTTATAAACTTCTAATGTCATACATTACCCGTTATTTTTGCATGTTAAGCACTATTAACGTTAAATATTGATTTACATGTTTTCTCATTGCTGGAGAATGCCATTCTAGATAGAATAAACTTAAAGTATGAAAAGGATGATGTATAACTTTAAATTCCTAATCATGCAATATTTTAATGTTGGATTCCTTTGCTATGGAAGACTATCTTTTAAACACTGCTATTTATCAATGACATTCCACCGTTAAAAATAAAATTATGTCAGTTTCAAAAGAAATTACACAAGAAGAAAACCTATTACGCCATCATTCAAAGAAGGAGAAAACTGTGAATTAAACTTCTACTTTTAGTCCAATCCAGCTCTATTTGACAAACCGAGCATGTAAATGGAATCGACAAACGATGTAATCTGGTATCAGCTCCCGTTATGCTAATAGACAAAGCCACATAATTACTTAGTTACCGATAAACCGCGCATCCCAGGCGCATGGATATCCTTAACCAGAACATTTTATCACCAGAGGATTTTTTGTTGGTGGTAATGCGTGCCCTTCTCTTTGCCAACCACTTGGCTTAAGTAAACTGTTTGGTGAAGTTTATCTAGGGGTGTTGTGCGCACCCTTCTACCAACCAAGCTGCTACCAATTACCCTCAAACAGGGGTATAAAAGGCCCACGCAAACCCCTCTCCAGGTGACTTGCTCCTTCCTAAAGCCCGAGCCTGGACTCCGACTACGTTAATGTGAGAACGCGAAACGGAGCCCAACAATTAATTCTGGAAGTCAAGACTGCTTGAAACTTTAGACAAGTTTTCTCTTTTCTCGTGGCCTGGCCACCGAAGTCAGCCAGCCTGAAAGAGTTAACGAAATCATGGCTCGTGCAATATACTGCCTTCTTCTTCTAGCCGTGGTACTCGGGGCCATCGAGGCTCACGTTACCTACAAACGGCGGTAAGTCAATATATATTTTTTGCTATCTGATATGTGATAAGTGGTAGATGAATATCTTTAAGCAGTCTTTGTTTATTAGAAAAAGAGTGGCAAACGTCAAGCATGTTTAGTGACATAAGTCGTTCATTAATGTAACAATTATAATTTGCTTTATTTGTAAAATTACCATTTTATTTATTTCTATGCGATGTGTGTTCTGACAATGTACAAAATGGCTTTAGCTGATTCAATCATTTATTACATTCTTGGGGAAAATGTTTATCATCGGGTCATCAAATTTTATGTTAACTTGTTCACAATGATAAGAAATGGTAAATTATTGCTAGTAAAATTGAGATCACAACGACAATGATTCCAATAGTTATATTCATGTCGGTCAACGTTCAAGGCGCCAAAATATCACCACCCTCGCCTTCGTGGAAGCATCCATCTGGTTTTGCTCCTCACATTACCAATACATAATACAAGACAGTTTGGATGAAACAAGATGAAGTAAAAGAAAGAACTAGGTAAAAAAAAACAGGATTGGAGCATGTGGTAGCCATAGAGTACCGAAGCTGTGACGTCATAAAAATATATTTTTAGAATTTCTCAACTTTTCTTTATTTTCCGAAAGAGCATCAAAGATAATGTCCAAATGTCAAAAATCAATTGAATATGTTAAGTATTGGCTGATATATGACCAACTGAATAAATATATTTCCTTTAGGAACTCAGTGTTATTTGCTCTGGCTCGTAATGGTTAGGACACGTCACACTTCACCACTCTATTAATTTCCCTATAAACGAGTTATTTTGACGAAAGAATATAACGGCCTTTTCAGTTAGGCTAGCTACCATTTGGTGTTAGCGAAAGTTTCCAATCGTGAATGATCAAGGCATTGTTTAAAGGTACTATGTCCCATTTGCAGCCAACATCAAATTTTGTAGAACTTTGCAGAAATTATGAATATGTCACGTATGTCCTATCTTTTTAGCATTATCCTAGTATTCAAATTATGCAAGGAAACCCGTTTACTTTCTAGACTTCACTGTCAGACACTATTGAGTGACTGATTGACTTCATTTTTTTCTTTGGTAATAAAATACATAAAATGAGCTGTAAACGGTACATGAGCATTTGTCTACATCAATAACCCACTTCTTGCAATGGCCAAAATTAAACTGATTGAATCTTTGCGCAGCACAAAACGTATGACCGATCGGTACAAAGGTCTGAAAATCAGAGCATTACTAAAATTATTGCAATCACTAAAATGGATTCTAAAACTAAGGGTCTTTATTTCCCACTCAAAGAAATCTTCAAGCCCTTCTGTTTTAAGGGAAGTTCTAATTTAGTATTATCTTTCAAATGCCGGTGAAATTTAACCTTTTAATTTTGTTTGGCCTGCACATGGGACATAGTACTTTTGATTCCACAACCACCGGGATAAAAACTTAAACTCAATTGATTCCATAACTTTATCATCATACCATATTTGTTGGAAACCAGTAAAATTGATATGTAAATCGGCCATAGCCTTATTGTAAAGCAACTCAATGTTTTAGCTACTCCATCAGCCTGTTGGACATGCTAGATTTCACGATATAGCAAATAAGAAATAGATTGACCTTTACATGGCTCCCGAAAATACCAGTAATGTCGAAAAATCGATTTTGATTCACGGTATATAAATAAAGAAACGTATGACTTGTGCGTTATTGTTAGCAGATGTTGATCCTTGTTTGTACTATAAGAGTCGTTCTTGATAAAAAGAGATATTTCCTATATCCTTATGTCCTGTAAATTCTTCCACTCAAAAACAAAGTATAGAATTTACAGAAATTAAAAGCAGATGCAACCGACCTTAAATTGATATTAAGAAATTATATCAAGTGAGAGAAATAGATAAAGATAGATAGACAGGGGAAATGTGTTAGAGAGAGAGAGAGAGAATCATGCTGCAGGCATATTCTTTATGATTTCCAAAACAAAATTAAAAATATTACAGAGAGAACAATAATCGGAATTTTTTATTTTTTATTTTATTATAAATGGATATAGATAATTTTTAAGATGTCTTCGTTTTGATGAAATATCGATTTAGTAATATCATGATTTTGACTGGAACTCTACTAAACTTCATTAAAAAACTATTTTTTCCTATGAGGAAAATAATAAAATCTGAATTTCTTTTGGAAATGTAGAAAAGAACTTCAAAGTTTTGTCCAAAGATATTTTCTTCCAGAAAAGAGCAATAGTGTGAAATATGTTTTGGGTAATTTAAATTCCTATCGAGCTGAATCAAGAGAATATTGAAACTAAATTACTTAACTATCTAACTTAGTAATCCAAACTTGAAATAAGATCAACAATATTTATTTAATTTAATACCAGATTCTAGAATAAAACCCATTTGGTTTTCAATTTAACAAGTGGTAAATTTACAAAAACGATAATCGACACTATACTCAAATTCATCCGTCAATTAATAGAGAACTCATTTTATTACGAGTTTTTGTTAAAAAGTGTTTTTTTGTTAATGGCGGAATTTTGTAAACTTACTTACTAAAATTATAAAAGCATAGCTTAATTTGAACTACATGGCTTTCTAATGGTGTTTCCAACATGGACGTGACAGTTGCCATGTCATTAAAGAAATAACAATCCCAGGCAGTTTTAAGTAAATCAGTTGATTTCTCTAAAAGATACTCTTACCATTCTTTTCAATACATACTATACTATGACATTATCTTGTCTTAAATTAAAACAAAGATTGTGCTCTAGATTGCACGTTATGCCTTCATTTATTTGTTTCTAAAACTTTGGCCAAAGAAAAACAAATATATCTTTTAGAATGTAAGTGGATCCGCAAAGTTTAAGTTTATCGGCATACCAGACATCTTATGTAAACTTGTCTGAACTACAATAAGCATGAGCTGGTTTGTCTACCCGAATTGACAACAACTATTTAGAATCGGAACGATTTCAAACTTACACTGAAAATGAATGGAAGTGTTGCACGTTTTGTTTTTCTTCTCAAAATTAAATCTACAAACTAAGAATTTTTGATGTTAGATTGTTGAAATGAATTGTCGAATATATTTGAACGGCATGTACTGTAAATTGCTCTTGCGTTTATGCGATTAATTACACAAACACTCCAGAGTTTAGTTTAAGTCTCATTTGGTGGTGCTCAATTGAAGCAAGGAGAATGTCAAGTGTATTTGTTATTTACCCAAGAATCCACATTCTTTTATTGCAAGCCCACACAGTTTATTACTCTAGCAAACACTTATATCAAAGTTTATCCCAGTGTTAAACAAACCTTGCAGAAAAAGTGGCTACAATTATGTTGTTACGATTAAATGGATCTGTCTGTCAAAACAGATAGTGACAATATCAAACACGGTAAAAGAAACTTCGTTAAATTCATATCGTTGTAATCTTCACGTTATGGCACATCAATTTGATAAGCAATTTATTTATGTGTTTATGTGATACTGCTTCACAAAAAGCAGAACAGAGTCACAGGCTCATGAACTTGTAAATCTGGTAAAGTAGCATAATTATAGTAGCAGATGGAAACAGAACGAATCTCCTTGTGAGGAAAAAAATGTTTCCAGATTAGCCCGTGATGACATCACTAGAGTAAATTCAATGAGAAAATAGTTTTGATATATTTTATAGAATAAAATGCAGATAAACTCATTGATTAGAGGCAAATTTCGATAATTAGAACCCCAAAAAGGTTTCAATTAAGCGACGATAGATTAGGTACTACATTTCTCTATCAAGTATTAATATGACAGTTTTTTAATATCCTATTGTACTATATATACTTATTTTCTGTTTCTTAAAAGTATAGTTTACAATCGATCAAGCCTATACTTTCAATTAATTGTAAAGTATATTTTCTGTGGATGGTTTTAGGTTAATCTTAAAATGAACATATTTAAACTTAGATAGAGCATTTAGACTAAAACGTAAGTAAACATATAATTTTCTTTATGGCAAATGCATTTATATGATTTAATTTCATTCTATTTTTGATAAAAATGCTTAGTTACAAAGACGATCAACAGAGATTTGTTTTTGAAATTATAAATGCATGACGTATAAATCTGTAACCCCTTTATGTTGACATATAATTTGATTGATTACTTTTAAGTCAGCGTGAATACAAATATCTCAGATGCGCTCCAAGTAGATTTGATGACAAACTAAAATTCTAAATGTTTTTTAAAAATCCAAACATATAAACTGGGTATTTATCGTATTTTGTTTACAGATCGGAATACTCGTTCTTAGAAGTGCTGACATACGATTCAATAAGTACTTAAAGTATGAATGCTCTAGTTTTTTTTAAAGATTCGAAATAAAAGTTATTTATCTCTTCTGTTTTACAGACCGACATACTCGTTCTACACCAAAGACGGGAGCCACAATCCGATACTGAACCATCGTAAGTAAATCCCATATAATCGTCTCATTTTCAATAATTTGAATACGTTAAAGGAAGACGGAATGAATTCCTTCAAAATAGTTTATAACTTATCAAGACGAAAGAACTTAATATTTTGATGAATGTAAGAGACCAAACGTTTAAATGATTTTATCTAAGTATATGTAGAAAACCTTCAATACATAAAACCTATATTATTTAAATAAATGAAAATGAACAAATTCTGTGTCTTAAACTCATGGAATATATTTATTTATATCAATAAATAAAAAAAGCTTTATTAATGGCGATAGGCCCCTCTGTCTCTCATGTGTAATGAAATGTTTCTCTGATAAGTTTGAGTTCAAGTCTTCATATATCATCAGTGCATCGTTAAGAAACATTTAAGCATACAGAAAAAAAGCATGCCTGAAGTATCTAGATGAAACAAAATTAAGACAAACTAATGAAAAATAAGGTTATGAGAAATATTGTCACCACTGAGCGTGATAACTTGTATAACCATGTGTATGCTTGTAATTATGTGTCAATTTGATTCACATTTACAATAAATAGGAAAGAAAATATTCCATACTGGACCCAAATGCACGATATTTGCATGATTCTCTCTCTCTCTCTCTCTGTATTACTTTTCATTGGGTAATATATTTTGTTAAGCGGTTACGATGAAAATTATCAGTACATATCCCTAGTACATAGCGATGAAACAAATAAACAAAAACACATTAACATTCTTAGGGCTACTCGTATTACGTCAAAGCAGTTAGGAAAAAATGTCTAGAAATGGTTAAAATAATCATTCCACGAAATACGTCACAGGAATTCTGCTATATACAGACTGAAACATATTAGCCTTGATATTGATAAGAGAGGCGCTGGACGGATCTTATCATTCAATTAACATGTAAAACACACTCTGGATCTATTTGTTGTCGCAATGACGATAAAGACAACCTCTTTAGCGACAGAACGATATGTGGTTGTCAGGCTTGAGAGGGGTAAAGGGGGAAATGGCGCATTTGTCCCGCATGCATGCAACTAGATGCAATTGTTTTAAATGAAACTGAAAGAAGCTCATCAGGAGCAAAGATTGCAGGATAAATAATCTGATGATTCGGGAAGGGGGAGGGGGGGGGGGGGGCTTTATAACACATAAATCTTGTATTTTGTAGTTTTTATTAATTTTCAAATTGGTATGTACATTTTGCATAAATTGCAGCCCAGAACCATGCCAAACATTTTAAAAAACTAAATTTGCAGGAGTTGATCTGTTTGTTAAAAGTGAAACACATAACTGCCCAATTTTGTTTTAGTCAGTATTGAGACGGAATTCCTACATATCTCTGGGCGACGGTAATACCAGCTTTTTATTGTCCCACTCTTTTTATTTCTATCACAGACTGTTTTAACTTAAAATCAAGTATGTTATTATTTGTGTGTTTAAATTTAACTTAAACTGCTCCAATTATAGAACAGTCTACAGCAATTAGGCTTTGTGTTTTTCAAGTATCATAGCAAAGCATTCAAAACGATGTGATATGTGTAACCATGACGTACATAGAATGAACATATTACGCAATAACAAGGTTGAGATATCCGGGTCATATCATGGACCTTCATGCAGCAGCAGAATGGAGGGGTATGGGAGTAACCGGCCCGTGCCTCTTAAAAAAAACTAATTAACATATAATTATACCCAATACTCAAATGCGCCCTTTTCATTTTTTGGCGCCAAAGGATTTTCTATTTGTTCTTTTGCTTTCAGATATTTTCGGTATTGTGCCCTATACCATTAAAAAAGAATCCGTGTTACGACCCTGATATAAAAGTAGGTCGTATATTTAAATAAGGAAGGAGAAATACCGAGAAGAAAAACAAACAACTGAATGTGTCTATTACTTGAAAGAGCATACCTTTTAAAGGTCGTCAAAATTGGGGGATAAACAAATTTGAAACACATACTGAGAATTATCTATGAGGTATGTGGCGCGTAGGGCTACCTATGGATAAAATAATCGCACAATGCGCACATAAATATACTTGAAATTGGGTATTTTATCAAATATATTACTATAGTGCCAGTTTTTTATTTCTAAAAAGATGAGAAATTGAAAATCTCTTCTAGTTTTCAACGCGTCTCATACAACATTTTGATATGCGTTATGGATCGCTCTTCAGGGCTTCTCCAATATATGAATGGCCTATTCATTTTAAGTAAATGAATTTATTTTAAAAAGTTCGAAAAATTGTTGTTATTGTCTTTTTCGTTCATTCAGCATGGAATTCGACATGGTGACTCTTTGCCAGTGTTCTTCTATTTACAAGTAATGCTTTACGAATATGTTACAACATTACCAAAATAAATCCGGTACAACTTTTCAAAGCAACGTTTTGACATATCACACACACACACATATATATATATATATATATATATATATATATATATATATATATATGTGTGTGTGTAGATATATATAGATATGTTTCTATGTATTACATATTTGTAGAATAGCAACGAATACAGACCTACTAAAGCTGGCGATCTATATACGATGAGTGCAATACGATAAGCTTTAGTAAGTCTATAATCATTGCTATTCCCCGATGTATATGTATTTATACCCAATGTAATATATATTCCTTTATGAAACTGTAAAATCCAATTAACCCGGAAATCTTGAGGGAAAATCAAGATGATTATTTTTTCTTTTTTTCAACAATACCACATTATCCTCTCTTATTACAGCTGCTCACAGACGAGCTGCCCGAGCGGCCATGCCGATCCCTAGACGACCCACGGCAGCCCTGCCGGCTTCGACCATTCCGCCTGCAAGTCAGGTCCCATGTAAGTATCCTGGCATACCCCAGTCACAACCAACAAGACCGACATTACACCTATAAATGGACAAACCTAAAAATTACATTACCCCGAACGGTCAATAATCTCGAGTCAGTTTGGCAGAGTGACCAATACCTCAGTCACAAAAAGGAGACCGATAGCACACTGACAACAGACTGAACAACTATAAATTATACCCTGAACGGCAAAAAAAAAAAAAACCCGGTCGATTTATATTCGGTTTGATGATGTGGCCGAGGAATTGTCACGAAAAGTATTTATGCGCCTTACAGTCATTAGCCGATTACCTTGCTATATTTGTATTAAAATCCTGTTTTATTTGCCTGCCACATGTTGTCCTAATTTAATTTCGTAGACTGCACGACTCCTTCATGTTGACTAGGCCTATACGAAATAATTTGATTGTCTTTTCAGAGTATGAAACTGGTTTATAGGAATACTATACTGGAAAAGAATCATTGCCGTTTCCAATGGAAATTAAATTAACAAAAAGTTTCGTATTTTGTTGAATATCTTTGCACAGCTATGAAATTACACTATGATTAGATGGCTGGGAGAAGCCTTTCAATGTCGATCTGTAAAAAGTAGGTCCTGTACTTCATGCCACAAGATTGCAGTAAAAAAGACAAAATGGAAGGAAATCTATATGGACGATTTACATGGGCGTCAGAATCGGTGGGGTTGGGAGGGGATGTAGCCTCCACTTGTTTGAGTAGATAAGTTTCATTTTTCTTATGCCAGTAGTAGACTTGGATGTATTCTTGCTAGTTCTAAATAATAATAATAATGATAATAGTGGGTTCTTGTATAACGCTTATGTCTGTCAGACTTGACACTCCTGGCGCTTCCGAATCATGCGTAACTTTTTCTTGCTTTTCGAAACTTACTCTAACCGGTGATTCTTTTAAGTAGCCTATATGGGTCATTAAAGAATTTCTTGGCGACTGATTCGTTATCAAATTCTCTTTTAATAATTCAACCGTCGACTACCAACCTCTCTCCTTTCATAATATGTAATATTCTTCTGCATCACACCTCGATCTCTACATTGTTTTCCGTTCTCATCAACAGCCATTGACGAGAACGGTTATTGCCAGGCCTGGTCCCAGCAGCACTACCGTTCCTTCGACGGCAAGCTCTTCAGCTTCCATGGGGCGTGTACCTATACCCTGGTCACAGACTGCCTGGACTTTTCCTTCCATATCTACGTCGAGAATGACCTTAATTGTCAAGAACAGAAGGAAAACAATACTTGCTCCAGGTTAGTTGTACCCCACTCATATATACCGATAAAACCAACACAATGCAGACCGACATACATTCACAGACCGAATATCACATTATATCTCATACAAAACTACGATAGCGACACCAGACCGACAGTTAATAACAAGGATTTCTGGTTAGACCCATGTGGCCATACGCGGCGTATTTATGATTTTTGTTTCGATCATAGATGGCAGGGAGGGGGAGAGGGGGGGGGGGGCAACGCTAGTCTGCGTGAGCACATTATTATGTGAATGAATTTAGCGACCGAGGCAGGTCGTGGAAGCAAACAGATTGGCCTTTTTGAAACTCTGCTTACGTGGACTGCTAGTATGACCAGCTGTCAACAACTATTTGCCGAGTCATGAAGTGGCCATTCAGATGTATTCACGTGCAATTACGTTATTGATTTTTATTTCCAAATAAAGACCAAATGTTAATTACTATCTTGATTGTCTATATTGAAATAAAATAGCCTATTTACAACCAGACAACACGGCGACATTGACATTGAGGTAAAATGGGGGGGGGGGGGGGGTAGATAAAGTGGGCTAAGGGGCTTAAAACCAAAAGTATAAACCAAATCTAATTTGACAGAAAGACAGGCCACGATCGAGTAGGGAGTATCAACAAGAGGAGAAAATGCCGTGTCGGTCTAACTTAGAGAAAGCAGAAAGAGAGCAAGAAAGAAAAAAAGAGAGAGAGAGAGAGAGATAGGGGGAAAATGGGGGGAGAGCCAAGTGGAGGAAGGGAGAGAGAGAAAGGTTATTTTTCCAAAAGAAAATTAAAATAAATAGACAGGGAAAGAGAGAACAACAAAATAGAGTTTCTGAAAACAGGCAAAGGTGACATATAATGCTGTATATGAAAAAAATATCGATATATTGAAAGACAGAGCGAGTAGAGTCAGAGAAAGCTGCGGTGTGGCTAAGCGATATGAATATAGGAAAATCAATGACGGTGACTATATCGTTAACAAACCATATTGTTCCCAGGCGGACAAATATTGTGAGTCAGAATGCATTTTTTTATACACCTACCATTAACCCAAATCTAATACTTACCTTAAACCTATCCATACCCCTGAGACTTACCATCAGAATATGCCTTCGCGTCAGACAAACAATATTACAAATACAATTCCTAAAAGCGTAATGCGTCAGCCATAGATTTTAACTGTTTAATCAAACAGAAAATAAACAACAAAACCACCTACACAAATCTACTACTACTACTACTACTACTTCTGCTACTACTACTATTACTACTACTACTACTACTACTGCTACTAGTATTTCTAAATCTGCTTTTACTACTAATACTGGTACTTATGCTGTTACTACACTTATCCTATTACTACTACTACTAGTACAGACTGGGAATTTCTTATTGAGATACTTGTTTCCAGAGAAGTATGTGGCTCTTTGGTTTCCTGTTAAAGTAACGTTTGCTCAGTAACAAATTAAAAAAATGTTTAAGAAATATACACACATTATTCGAATAATGATTTAAATAATCTAACATTGTGCATTCTTCGGGTTTGATATAAGCTAATGACCAGTTACATAATTCCTTTTTCTTAAATTAAATTGAGACACTTGCGAATGTTTTCGATTTTGTTCTCTTGTACCATCGCGGCTCGTTACCTTTGGCTGCTTATATCTTCTCATCAGGTCTGTCTTGATCGACAACGGTAACCCCTCTGACATGATCTATCTCCGACCCGGTGGTGTCGTCACCTACAAGGACGTGGAGCAGACCCTCCCAACCAAGGCAGGTGGAATGGTCCTAGAGCGCATCGCTCACTACACACTAGCAACCAGTGGACTGGGTTTCAGCATCCTCTACGACGGAGGGGAAGCCATCACGGTTTACGCCACCTCGGATTCACTGAAGGGCAACACATGTGGTCTCTGCGGAGTGTACGACGAAGATCCAAGCAACGACTTCCGTACCCCCAGTGGCACCGTCGCTGATGATGCCTACAGCTTTGGTCTGTCCTGGAAGGGCATGGACGAGAGAGGTAAGAATAGTTATCGGGAATACATGCGGTCCACAAATCCCGTTACTTGAAGTAGCCTAGAGAAAATAAAGGAGTAATTTGACGGCATTTTTTGAATGGATGTAGATAGAACCGTCTGCTGTATTTAACGATATTAGATAATTAATTCATGCACAATTACCTTTATCATGACTCTGGTATGGCGGTGTCTTAATACTTATTAATATCCCCGTTGTACATTACGTTTCGTTTGAATACCCGAATAAAGCCGGCACCACCTTTCAGTTCTACCCCCAGGTATTCACACTTTTATATTGGCGTTTTAATACCATGCACTTTGCATAATTACATCTTCATAGATCCTGCATATTGCCCGGATGTACCAACTGTTCCACTCCGATGCACACAATACTCCAACTTCGAATCGACAGCGGCAGAGACGAAAGCTCAATTCGCCGAATCCGAATGCGCTCAACTACGTCATGGCACCTTTATGGCTTGCCACCAGGTCAGTTATTGTCTCACCCTCAAACATCTGTCAATCAAAGAAATCATCCAATCACAAAGTTTCGCACAGAACGCATGCGAGGGGATGCGTTCACTTTTCACCAATCCTGACGAGTGTGTCTGGACAACGATAGAAATTGGCGACTAACATGTTGAGTAATATCACTATCTAATCGAATTCATATCGCGCTTGATACTAATGTTTCAAAGCGCTGCAGTATTATCAGAGTAATATCCACGCATTAGCCGAGCTATGTTGATAAGGCGCTATGGCATTTGAGGAACATTGTTCTACCTGGTACCAGGTGCAGAGTGACATATGTAAATTAATATCTTGTCAAAACACATTAGTGTCGCCGTGGGACTCGAAACGCGGATCATGGGATTCACAATCCGGTGACGTATCCACCAGACCATGTCACCTCTACATTACTGTTACAGGGTTGGCCTAATCGGCCATTTTCGTAATGTAACCAAATTTAATGCATAAGTGTTTGTGAAGTGCCTCAATACAAATTATTTCATTCACCTGATAGGAATAATAGTATTTCAATAGTCAGAATGCAACTGCATATATTAAGTGTTGCTAGGTAGGTCAAGCCATAATGTTTGTCCAACCTGGCAACAACTAATGTATGCAGTTCGGATTCTGTCTATGAGGTTATTCCATAGCGGTTGTTGTCCTAGTGGTAATTTCCCCCAGGATATTTAAACTGGAGGGGTAAAGACGGGGTATTGTTAATGATAGAAGGGCAGTTATCCGTATGGAAATTTAAATAAACTATCAAATCTTGATTTACCTGTCTAAAACAGGTTGTAGATCCTGAGCCATACATCGTCGCCTGTGAGCAGGATGTCTGTGCATGCGAGATGAAGGCTCAAGAAGATAACACGACAGGGAATGACTGCAAGTGTGCTGCCTTCACGGCCTATACCCAGGAGTGTTCTCGACGAGGCTTCCAAGTCTCATGGAGGGCCTACGACTTCTGTCGTAAGTATAAACCATGTTTCTTTCCTCTGTGCTAAATAAATGGCCTTCCGCAGATGAAAGTGTAGTCTTGTAGATATTGCGAACTATGAAACGGCGGGTCCGTGTTCTTATTCCAGGTATGAGAATAACGTCAATTTGGCAGTACCTTAATTTACATGTTCAACTCTTTATCAAAAGAAGAATCTTAAGCTAAAAGTGAAAGACGTATAAATGCAATAGCGCAAACAATGGTTGCTGTTAGGGGAGTAGAGATTGTACGCATAGGCTTGTTACACATACATTGAATAGGGCAGTAATTGTTGTGAAGTACTTGATTGAATAGTCTAAAGCATTAAGATAGATAAACATTGACTTGAATGATTCCAGAGAAAGGTTGATATTTGGTGATCAAAATCGTCCTGCTCGGTAACACATGTCTGCGTATACCGACCTACAAACCGTGATGTAAATTATCTTTATTAACTAACCCTGCAGCTTTCGACTGTCCCGCGGACAAGGTCTACGACCAGTGCGGATCAGCCTGTACCCAGAGGGGCTGCAGCACCGCCATAGCTGACTGCGAGACCGATGAAACAGTTGGATGCATCGAGGGCTGTCACTGCCCAACAGGGACTTACCGATCATCAGCAGGCACATGCGTCAGTGCTAACCAATGCTACTGCTCATGGCAAGGAACGGAGTACGAGCCAGGAAAACAGATCTCAGATGGATGCAACGAATGGTAGGTAGTCCACAGATCATGCCAAGGAGTTTCCTTGAAGAATAGCGTAAGATAGTGATGTCACCTATGATGACCTGCTCTCAAGTGGTCTGTTTTGAGAAGAAAAAACCCACACCCACCACACATTCGGTGTGATTCGTGACATTTCGTTTGCCTACACATTTACCTATCCTTCATTTTTCGTCAGTTGAAATTTAATTATTTTTTCCAATAAAATGCGCTCTATACATAAATATGTATCGCAAGGATGGATGAATTTCGAATAGCAAATTTCTTCATATCTTTGTCAATTAAGTTGTAATTGTCGTACGGTTAAACATGAAGAATACAACACCTTAAAAAGCGAGTCTTGGATTGGAAACGCCAGTTGTCAATTTCCGGTCTCAGTCGACTAACATCTTTACATTTTTTTCCTCTTGATTTTCAGTGAATGCGTTGATGGAAAATGGCAGTGCTCACAGAATGACTGCGGAGGTATGATCTTGGTTAACATTATTTTCCTTGAGTTACAGAAGTCATTATGACACTTTTTGAAAGTCTATGAAAGCTTTCGAAAGCAAATAATTTCTCAAGATATGTAAAAATCTGTTCATTTCAATTCACTTTTTTGAAAACTCTTTATTTTAGTTTTAACATGTGGAGTATTTGACTCGAAACCGATATAGAATGACAAGAGTTATGTATATTCATATCCATGCACTGTAATGCAGAGAGTAGCAATACCCTTTACTTTCAGGTATGTGCCAGGTCAGTGGATATGGCCATTACCATACCTTTGACAACTATGACTACGATTTCGCTGGTACCTGCTCCTATACTCTTGTCAAGGACTGTTGGAGCTTGAGCAGTATCTACATGGTGACCATCGAAAATGCCGCATGCGGCATGGAGGGCGCCTCCTGCGTCAAGGCGGTTGTTCTTGAAGATGGAATGAACGTTGTGCGCCTGCGCAGAGGTCATCAAGTACTGATCAATGGGCAGGAAGTAACGGAGTTCCCCAAGACGATTGGCAACATATTTGTGAACCAGCCAACTAAGCATCAAACTGCTGTAAGTTAGAGTCACTGCGTATTGCGAAAGTGAAATAGATTTTGCAAAATTCTTCCTCAAAGGTGAAATTAATTTTCTGGAAAATTAGTCATTTACATAGGCATAAGCATCAAAATAAAATTTAGGTTGCAGAGCAATGAAAACTACGATTTCAATTACCCAAACCACAAATTAAACAATGACAAGATCTTAATATGTTCCATATATTCTAGGACTTTGAACTTGATAATCTGAATTAATATACGTTGAATTAAACCCAATGCTTTGATGACTTTTTACAACTTACTTGATGTTAATATTTATTCTGATAAGCTTTTATTCTTTAGATATTAGTATTCAGGACCTCTAACAATTGCTTTTAATTCTATTACTTACATGCATACAGGCCGTTATGGCTAATGGCCTGACCATCCTTTTCGATGGCAACAACAGGGTAGCAGTGATGGCCGATGAAAGGCACCTCAATGCCACTTGTGGTCTCTGTGGTACATACAACAACAATCAGCGTGACGACTTTTACACCGAAGCAGGTAAACACAGCTAGCCAAAACACGCTAATATCCCACAGTGTGTGAAAATGTTATATAGTGTGGGAACACGGCTTAAAACAGTGTAGATATACTGTTTTTAGATTAATAATAATAATAATAATAATACGAAGAATAGTGCTACTACTTCTTCTACTACTACTACTACTACCACAATTAATAAAAATGATAAACATGATAGTGATAATAATAGTTATACTACTGCTACTAATAATGACTTATTAAAAAAATACACTGGTATTGGAATGCCAGAGGCTTGCAGAGGAATTATCCATTAGGAGAAGAGTTTTATCTCATTTTCATGTAACTCTTCTGTCGGAAAAGCAGCAAGGTGGGACAGATGATCTAGTGGAGATGTTAAAGTAGTATCAGATTTTGAAATCTGGTTTCTGTAGATTACGAGTAACATACATGCCCTGATAAAACCCATCTTTCTCTGATTTTTTCCCTCTAAAGGTGACATCGAATCGAACCCAGCTTCATTTGCGAACAAGTGGAAGCTTGGTTCATCCTGTCCCGATGCTAGTGACGATCCAGGCGCTGACCCCTGTGACCTTTACTCCCAGAAGGCTCTCACTGCTGAGTCAGAATGTAACCGACTCTACGTCGATGATGCCTTTGCTGGTAAGGACCAAGGAACAAGTTTAAATCCTTGGCATTACTCATGGATTCCTCAGAGTATTTCTGTATAAGTGTCGTAGTATAGTGGTTTCTTCACTTTACCTTCAATCTAAGGGTTGAGGGTTCACATCCCAGCCCGGCACTAACCTCGACTGGCAAGACAGGAATCCACATTGGCCACTATTCACCCAGGTGAAATGGGTACCGGGTAATAATAACTGTGTAGGGTCCGCATGAAGAATATCATTGATGCTTCTGAGGCTTCCCTGGGTAAACAACATTATTATTATCATCATAATATTAATAATAATCATAAGTTTCGCTCTAAATTTCTGAAAACTTACAACATACAACTTTTACCAATGACAACAAACCTAAGGATAAATACCTTAACATATATATATATGGTGGTAGTCAGATTTCCTAGTCTTAAAATGCCCTTGTTGAGCAAACCGTAAGTTCATAGCAATAAATTCCTTACCTTGTATGTTATTTTATATTACTATCATTTTTTTGTTTGTCACAAGATCGATTTTCTCTTCTCGGGTTTAGGATCTTTTTCTTCTTCAAATGAAAAGGTAATATCGTAACATAATCTATCATACTACTCCAAACTCTTTCGCTTTACTCTCATTTGTCTATAGCTTGCCGGAATTATGTTGACCCGGAAGTGTTTTATGATGCCTGCCGACGTGACGTTTGCAACTGTGAAACCGGGGACACCTGCAAATGTGAGATCTTTGCTATGTATGCTACCCAATGTGCTCAGAAAGGTGTCATCGTCAACTGGCGATCAGAAACACCCGGATGTGGTGAGTTTAAACTTTGTTTATTGGCTTGACTTCTGAATGTGGAACAAACTAGGCTTATACAAGTGACTATAATTTATCAAACCTTATAAACTATATAAATCCGTTTCACGCCATTAAAACAAAAACGAAATCACAACATATTCCCAAATTAGTTCTTCAGTATACTATTATGACTACAATGACCAGGCTCAATCTACTGCTGGTCATGTCAGAAACCCATTGTAGGGAGGGATCAACTGGAGGTCGGACTTGCAGAATTAAATCTCTATTTTTTGATAATTTGTAGTCTGATTATACTCTTTACAACTTTCTTTGGCTTCTGGAAGCATAAATTTCCCAGTCGTGCATGTTTCTTTATATGATAATTTATGACCCTGATATCTAGGGCCCGTTTCACAAGCCCTTTTTCAATGACAAATGACAAAAATCAGTGACAAATCTTCTGATAACCAATCAGAAGCGAGGATTTCAGTAGCTTATAACAAAAACTGTCATGTCACTGATGACAAGTTTTGTGAATCACCCCCTCAGTACGTCAACATCTAACGCTGATCTCGTCTAGACATATTGTAGGGGTCAGCTGCGAGGTAGAAATGATGTATAGTCTTAAATCCTACTTTAAATTGCATTTTCTAGTCACTTCCACATCTTGAACACTGTCACTACCGTCAGCACTTCGAAACGCAACATTTCTAGTCATAAATGTTTCTTTCCATGATAATCTAAAACCCCGATAGCAATACGTCAACATCTGTTTATATTGTATTATAGGGAATAGGTATGAGGGTACAGCCCCGAATCCCAATCTTTAAAGTAGTATGTGAGCGTTTTGAAGAAAAAAAATAGTATCCTAATATGCATGCTTTACATATTTTGTCATGATCCCAAGATAATACGTGTACCTCTTTTGCCGATCTTGTCCAAACCAATTTTAGGGATCGACTGCGAGGGCGGACTCGTATACAGCGCTTGTCATCCCATGTGCGAAACAACATGCAACGCCCTCTCATCCAATTCGGTCTGTGATGAGACCTGCGTAGAAGGATGCGCATGTCCCGATGGTTCCGTCATGGCTCCACATGGCGCATGCGTGGCTCCTGAAAACTGCGGCTGTGTAGACCCTGATTCCGGCGAGACCTATGCCCCAGGGGAGAGAATAGAGAAGGGATGTGGTTTCTGGTGAGTCTAGGAAGTCTAGGTAGTGAATTTTATATGACGAGCTAAATTAGGAGAAAGAAAACGAATGCTCCACACTTTTGGGCCAAATGTGGACTTGAGATAGAGAGGTAAACAAATTATCTAAATTGTTCGGAGCTGTTTTTTTTTTTTTTAAAGCGATATGTTATTTTCGAAAAATGCTAGACTAAAACTTTGAGGTTGTATCTTAAATATTGAAAAAGAATTGTCGTTGTATTGTGCTTGTAGCTACCAAATATATATTATAGTAGTATATTTGTAAACAATTTACTGGAAAATATATACCCTTTGTAAATTGTATATCATATGTAAATAATGTCGCATGCAACGTTGAAGAATTATTCAATGTGGATCTACCGCCATATCAAAACTACAAAAAAAAAGTTAACAACGACATTTTTCTTAATAACTAGCCTCTGCGACTCCGGAGCCTGGGCATGCGAAGAGTTGGACTGCCCCATGGATGCTTGTCTCGCCAACCAGGTATACGTCCCCTGCGTCAGCCCATGCGTAAAGAGCTGCGCCAACATGCACGAGTTCGAATCTTGTTCAGCCGCCACGTGTTACGGTGGGTGCGAGTGTGCTGAGGACTCGGTCTGGAACGGAACGAGCTGCGTGCTGCCGACCAGCTGCCCCTGCCACCATGGAGGTCATAGCTACTCCGAAGGTTACATCATCCAAACTGATGAATGCCACTCTTGGTAAGTTCCGATATGCTTATGAATGTGCCGTGAATGTGGCATTGCGTAATGACAGTTGTACAGTTGTTGTGGTCGCCTCGGTACGTCTCTGGAATATACATGCTTTTCTGGTCGAGTCCCACCGCGGCATTTTATTTTTATTCTTTGAATGCTCTCAACGCCTCTAAGCAGCTGGGCTAAAGCAAGGGTAATAATGGTACATTGTAGGCGCCTTAATTGAGCATCGCTGGAATGGATATTTGTAGCTATAACATCATCACCATCATTATTATTATTATTATTATAATCATTATTATCATTGTTAATTTCAATATTATTATCACTATTAGTAGTAGTAGTGGTAACGCTGTTGTTGTTTTTATCATGAGAGACCAACTGTGAGAGTAGACTCAAATAGCAAGTGAGCATAAAAAAACGGTGCACAAATAATGATGTTGGCGAATGCCCTAATAGCCTTCATTGGGTAGGTTACTACGTAATCCAAACCGACAGCCACTCAAGCATTGGATACAAACCAGTTTGGGGGTTGAGAGACAAAATACTACAAATCTTTTATTCCGTTTTTGATATTTAAATTAGCAAGTTATCTAACTCTGACACGATGTGCAATAATGTATTTCATCGTTTTCATTAAATTATAAAAGTAACAAACATTTTATTATCTGATTACGACATGTTTTAACATTTCATTTGGTAAACAGCACCTGTACAAACAGCAAATGGGAATGCCGCGAGAAAGACTGCAATGGTACGCATATCCTTCTTCATAATATCTTCTTCATTTTCTCTTTTATTTTTAAATTTTACTGATTAATGTGATCATGTTATATATTCTTAATATTTACTATAACTTAAATCAATTGAAAGGATTGCTTTTACAGTGCTCCAAGACTATACTTCATATTGTCATTACCAAAATAGCATTCGTTTAGATAAATACACTAAAACCTTTTTGATTCACTAAATCAGTGATTGAAATAAAGCTTATTGGAATAGAGGTAAAGTCCGTTCATGAAATGAAGGTTAACATATTCAACCCGCATACATTAGCAATCAAGGAGAACAGACATTACAAGTAACAAATAATCAGTTCTGATGCCGGTATAATTGAATGAAGACCGTATATCGAATTGTATGGAATTATATGACAATGTTGTTTAAAAGGTTGTCTGGTAGGAATTGCTAAAAAAAAAAAGTGTACAAAAGGAGAAATAGGATTGATTTAACACAAGCTAAAGCTCTAATTTCTCATCAATTAAAAACAAAATAGATGTGTCCCATACGAGATGTGTGACACGATTATATTTCATTCCTGAATGAAAAAAAAAACACTTTTGATATGACTATGACTAATGTTAGTAATAGAAGAAAGCACTATTATCCATCTTTAAGAGAGCTTTATGTTTGTCTGATGTATGGGGACAAAATATGTCGGAGAGGACACAGAGCACGAAATCACCCAATTTGGTTTAACAATTTGTGAAAAAATTACAGCCTTAGATTTTGTTAAACCAACAAACGGAAATTTGAACGGAATCACCTAAATGTTGTATTTCAGGTGTGTGTACGGCATGGGGAGACCCTCACTACAAGACATTCGATGGAAAATTGTTCGACTTCCAAGGGGACTGCGACTATGTTATGGTGACTGACAGTGTCAGCCAGGCTTCAGGAATCCCTTTCTTCCACATCGTCGTCTCAAACATTCCATGCGGAACATCCGCCGTTACCTGCACCAAATCCATTACTTTTAGTATAGGTAAGCAAGTCCATAAAAAGCTTCTTTTTTGGAGGGGGAGAGGCGATCAAGAGCTCTCATTTTTAGATGTCATTCCGGTTGAAAAATCGCACATCAACTCCTTCCCCCAAGGAAATATTCCGTATCATGATGATGATGAAGGTGATGATGATGATTATTAATATAACTATAAACAACATCATCATCACTTTCATGATCATCATCAGCTTCATTAGTTTCACTGTTACTATAATCATTTATATTATTGCTTTGTCTTCAATTTATTCAGTTCATTGAATTATCATTATTATTATTATTATTTTTTGGAGGGGGGGGGGGGGGGGTTATGTCCCTCAAAACCCAAGAATCTCTCGTTTGTCTGGCCTTCGATAACAGACAGTAATTATACAAAGCATTATTTCCACTAAATGTAATAAGGCTTTCAAAAATAGGGTGGAAAACATGAATAATCAATTGTACAGACTTTTTTCTTCAATTCTTCTTTAAGTGCTATAAAGCGTATATCATACAATAATACCATGCTGTTCAATTCCTTATTAAGTAGTAAACATATATCTCAAGAACATTTTAAAAAATTCTCCTCTTCTTAATCAGAGGTAAACTGCCAATATGTTAAACAAATTTATTTATATATGAATAATAAACCGATGATGACGTTGATTTCTTTTCTATGCGTAACTAAACCAGGAACGGGAAGCAACCAGGAAAAGTTGATCCTTGTCCGGGGTAAACCGACTCCAGCCTCAGCCGGTTCATTCCGATTGACTGAAGTTGGAAACTACGTCTACGTGCACACAACCCACAGAATAACACTGATCTGGGATCGAGGTACGTGGATCCAGGTCAAACTTGATCCCATGTACAAAGAAAAGGTAAACAAAAATAAGCTATTTCATGTAATTTGTTTGCAGTACAATTCCAACCAGTTTACTCTAAATTCCATTTTCCCTAGCTGTCCCCCTTCTCTTCCCTTCTTGTCTATTCTTCTCTTTCCCTCTTATATCTATGTTTTTATTGCTACATACAGGTGTACCCAACACAAGCCTATGCTTTAATGGGATACACGCCTTCTTCATTGTGTTACTATGCTCTTCAAACCATAATATTTACGTCCTTTTTATTCATAGGCTTATGAATATTTTGATAAGAAGTACGACTAAAAATTGAAGAAACTCGATGTTACTTTTCGAAAGGAAAGAGAACATATTTATATAACTGACTTTTATTATGAGGGGGAAAAAAGTCAATTCAGTGCAACTTTAGATTAGTTGGAAAATAGGGAACAAGATGTATTGCATTTTGAATGCATTTTGGGGGTTTTAAAAAAGAAATCATTGAATTATACAATAAAAGAGACTGTATAGAAAGTTATTTTAAATGGTTGATTGGATAATAAAAAGGAAACTTGTGACTGGATAATTGAACATTATGAAGTTTCTTTATTCATGACTATTGTGACATATTGAATAAATCTTTCAAAAAAATACGAATAATGAACAAAAAAAATCGGGCACAGACATGGGTAGACCTACAAGGGACTACACACGTTGGATGACTTCCTAAACATATTCCTGGTCATGTTTAACTTTAATAAACTTAAATAAAGAGCAATCTCAATCACGATACATCTTTACCACATGATTCTTCTAGAATGAAATAGAAACTATGAGAAGCTTTCAAAGTTATTTTTCACTTTTATTAGAACTCGAGCCTCTTTAAAAAGTATTGTGCTTGATACCTGGGTTTCGTTGTATTTCAATAGGTTGGAGGTCTGTGCGGTAACTTCAACGACCTGATTAGCGACGACTTCTTATCACCAGCTGGAGGTCTTCCAGAGACGTCCTCAATCGATTTTGGAAACAGTTGGAAGGTAGGACAACAAAAATACAAAGACACCGATTAGGAGGGATGATTTATGGAAGTGTCAGCCACCATAACTGGTGGGCCATCAAGTATGCTAAAATACATGCATTCCCGTTTTAGTTCAGGGACGGCCGTGCACCTGTCAAGACATTGAAGCATTTCTATTGTTATGCTCTTGTATGCCCCCAGTGAGGTGGGTTAAGCAATATACTGTGCACCCAGAAACCATGTAAACCGAATTAGTGTATCTTTAAGGTGAAATAATCTAACCGTGTTCAACTTAGTTCTTTGAGTTGCGTGAAACTATTTAGTGCCACGAAACAAAGTGCTTGATCGTGGTGGTTTTCTTTGCCATGACAGTGTCCCACACAATATTTGCTTGGAGAAAGCCAATACACAATTTTTTTTCTTCATCTAGATCCATGACTACTGCCCTCGTCCGGAGCATATCATCCACCCTTGCCTCTTTAACCCGTTCCGCCGGGCCTGGGCCATGCGCCAGTGCAGTGTACTAAAATCAGATACGTTTGCAGCATGCCATAGTGAAGTCAGCTACCTACCCTACTACTCCCGGTGCATCTTTGATACCTGCGGCTGCGACTCCGGTGGCGATTGCGAGTGTCTTTGTACTGCCATCGCCGCGTACGCGCAGGAATGTAACGCGCAAGGCGTTCACATCCCTTGGAGATCAAACGACTTCTGCCGTAAGTATAAATCTTCATAGGATTAATGATTTTTTTTTTTTTAATATATCTCTGGCCCCGTATCTTTGACGAAGTAAAGCCCGAAACAAAGTGCCCTAAACCACATGAAGTCTCACCTCCACGTGTTTATTCGTTGATAGGACTTTTAAACCTATTTTTTTTTTTCAGAATTAGTATTTTCACGTTTCAAACCATATTATGTTCATGAAAATGTATGATGTAAAAAGAAAAAAAAAAGATGCAGAAACCAATAAAACAAAACAAAACAAATCAATATAAATGATGTTACCCTAACTAAATAAGTGGTAGGCGTCCACTGCTCTCTTTCTGTTATTAAATTTAAATCGAAATTCTAGGAGTAAATAAGGATGTCTGATTACATAACTTATCAAGAGAAATAGTTAACCTCTTCATCTTTAAGACACTCGATCAGTAGTTAGCTCTCATGTGGAATTCAACACCGTTCGGGTGTTTACCCCATAAGATGTGCTGTTAATCACCAGAATTAGCGTTCAGTTTCATGATCAACAGGCCTTATGTAACGTACTGCGTTTTTCACCCATTCCCCCACATGGTAAAGTCATTATCTCACTTTTCCCTCATCCGGAGATCTCCTATAGACGAGGGGGTATTTCTCGATTGGCCTACTGGTTCGCTGTGTGCAGACCTAATACCTGTACACACGTTTATGATTATTATCCACCAAGTCTGGTGTCAGCGAATTATGGTCTTCTGCGCATGGAAACTGACGAGTGACTCCCTTTAAAGACGAGTGGAGCATTCGTGTATATCATTTTCCCTGTATCTAACATTGTGTTGTGGAAATTAAAAAGAAATCCAAAATGAATGTTCACTAATTTTTCGCCTGTATTCTTCTTCCATCTGCAGCAATGCAATGTGATGATTGTTCGGAGTACAATCCCTGTATCCCAGTCTGTGATATGTGCGGGCACGAGGATCGATGGGATGAGAACGGAGAATGCCCCGACACGTGTGTAGAGGGATGTAAATGCCCCGATGGACAGTTCTACGACGGCGGCGAATGCGTGGATGCGTGTCCTACCACCACACCACCTACCACCTTACCAACTACCACCCGCTCAACCACACCATGGGATTATTCAACCCCTCCAACTACACCTACAACTACAACCGAAACTACACCCTATTGGGATATATGGACTACTGAAGAGACAACCACTGAAGAGACAACCACTACACCTAAAACTACAACCAAAATCTGGACTGACGATTTTACTCCTACACCTAAGTTTACACCGCCACCTTACACACCGCCGTATAACACATGTAAGTGTTTTCAACAGGAGTGTGAACGGTACTCTTTACGTTAGCTTAACTTTAATCATCCACTCGTTGATTTTTCTTTAATATCTTTCTGTTCTTTAAAATAAAAAACACAATAAATTAGTATTTAGATATGAACAAAAAGCATAAGGTGCCTGACAAGGAGAGATTTAAAAAAAAATCAGCCAATAGTCGATCGTTACTCATGATAATACTAATGTCAAACAAAACATGACATTTTCGGGTTGTCAAAGACATTTTGATTTCATAATTTTATATGATACTAGAAACGAAACAATCCCCCTTTATATTGTTCCACTTCTGTTCATTCAATACATTTTTTTTTTTATAGTATGTTAGTTACCAGGCTGCACTGCAAAAACGCGTCTTAATTCATTTTTTTGTTCAGTACACTATTGGTCAAAATTATGAAATATCTGGAGTTTAATTTAGATGGTAGTGAATTAAGGCAGAATGTCATTTGAATGCAGCTCAGTAGTGATGTGTTGTGGTCCGGTGGATAAGTCATGGTACTTTTTAACCACACGGTACAGGGTTCGTATCCCCGCCACAGCAATAAGTTCCTTTGAAAAGATATTAGCCTGTACTTGCCACACTTTACCCACGTGAGGTATATGGTATATAAATGGATACCTGATTAGGATAATCCTTAAAATGCTCTTTGCGTTGAAATCGGTTGCCAGAGCTATGGCCGGGGCTTTACTTTCCACAGCTCTGTCATAGCTGTTAGGAGGTTTGTGATATGCATTGTACAGGAACAGAATATTAATAATGAACTATTGGTTTCTGATTGATTTTCTCATGAAGGTTATTGCCATGGTTACGGCGATCCCCATTACACGGACTTTTACGGAAACGACTTCGACCATCAGGGTAACTGTACATACATCCTCAGTCAGGATACGTCACACAATCCCCCGCTCTACACCGTGCTTATCCATAACGTCGAGTGCGAGCGATTCCCAGGGACAACTTGCCCCAGAGATCTCGAGATTATCTACAATGGGACCAGTACTATCCTCCAGTCCGAGTTCTACATCGACGGTGTAAGTGATTGACATTTGAACCTATAGAGTAAAAACATTAAGGAAAAAAACAAACAAACGAAAACCCAACAACACCAATATCAAAAGTAAACGATATAACTAAAATACGATCAAAGTCTGCTTTTAATCGCTAACCTTACTATTGGACACAAATTGTTGAATTTTGGAAAAAGTAATTATACTAAAAAGTAATTATGCTTTCATTTCATTCAGTCGCATCTGGTAGTCATCGACGGCGTGCAGTATGTAGCACCTATGGAGCTCCCGGCTTTCCGAGTCATTTCTTTAGGATTTTACCTCATCTACCAAGCCCCGGCCATCGGGCTCGAAGTCCGTTTCATCCCGCTAGACAACCACTACTTCAGCGTGGAGGTACCCGAGGCTCTCTTCTATAACTACACCGAGGGCCTGTGCGGTGAGTATTCATATGCCATACAAATGATCTCACTGTGCCACATTGCACTTATCATGGGGTGAATTCACCAAAGGCTTCAAGATTATTAAAATGTTTTAAGTGCAAGATTGATCCATACCGATGTTACAATGCTTTTCACGGAGCTAATCAACAAAGGAAACGGGTAATTTTGCAAATACATTGTGTTGCACAAATTAAAACGATGTTAATAAATCAATGGAAATGACATGTGCAACGGGCTTACGAAAAACGTAAATTGAAGCCAGGGTATCTTTTTTCTGCATTCGACAAATTGCAACATGTGAAAGAAACACATCTCGATAAATATCCTCTATGTTCTCACTATCAGGTAACTGCGGAAAGAATGAGACAACATGTGAAGAAGATAGTGATTGCTGCGATTTAGTTCCTCCTGAACATAGGGAAGACTGTGGTTGTGACGATACAACGACACCATGTCCCCCTACCGATTCAAGTCGGGAGTGGTGTCAACACATCTACGATCCCATCTTTGACGAATGCCATGCCGTCATCGATCCCGCGCCATACTTCCGAGACTGCCTCTATGACGAATGTTACGCCAATGATACGACGTGCTGGGCTTTCGAAGCCTACGCCACGATGTGCGCCAACAAAGGAATATGCCTCGAGTGGAGACATGAAGACTTCTGTCGTAAGTTTTAGGAAATTTCTGCTTATCTTCGTCTGAGTCCACTAAAATTCAGAAGACATTAGCTACCGCATTGGATCTTATTTCCCTTATTTTGAAATATGGTTCAACTCAGATCCAATTAAATTAAGTTTTGTGTTATAACTAACATCAGAATACGGGTCTTCATTAAAATGTTCATGGACTATCAATTCTTCGGTTAGGAGAAGAAAAAAAAACCTGATTTCTCCCACTATTTATTTCAATGAAAATAGTATGAACAAAAAGTATTTTTTTTAATTTGAAAATCACGAGTTTAAAAATATAATTGTGATGTGTTTTCCTCACCCGTGTCTCTTCCCACTTTGCAGCTATGGACTGTGTGGACCCCTTCGAGTACCGCCAATGTGCTTGTCCGACTTTCGAGTTTCCTAGCTGCGAGAAGTTCAACCCTAGACATATGCCTTGTCGGACCGAGCCTGTCAATGGATGTTTCTGCCCAGAAGGCACTATGCCTGTCAGCAATGATACCTGTGTACCATGTCGTAAGTCATCACATCTTGTTATAATTATCAAGTTATTAAGAATTCGGTAATTCAAGGATGACTCCTGTCCCTCTCCCCTCAAGGCACCATATCCGTCATAGGTTATGTTTGGTGTGTCTTGTTGTAAGGTATCACATCTTGAAATTATCAAGTTCTTAAGATTCCGGTCAGTATAGCGGGGACAGGGGGGGGGGAAGGACATTTCTCCCACAATTGAGTAGAGAAAACAATAAAAAGAAAGACAGAAAAAAAGTAAAGGGTTGCAATTACGAGAAAAGAAGACGGCTGGACCACCTCCCCCAATCAAAATGGTTGTAAATTCGCATTTCATCTCACCGTATTACCGGTCCCCCCAATCGTTTCAGTACCACTCGATAACTGAACTCCACTGCGCCACTGAATTCGGTGATTCTAAGACGATTTTTGCCCCCACCCCTTCACGGCACTATGATAGTCAGCAGAGATATTTGCGTGCAAGGGCGTGCCAGGTATTACAATAATGCACACGAACCACATTTTTTCTCTTGAAGAATAAGAATATTAATTGATCCATTTGGGAAATCGCTTTTCTATGTTTTTTTAGCTTCAACTACTCCACTTTACACAACATCCGAGTTTTTCTCAACCACCCAAGAGCAAACAACACATATTACAACCCCCACTTCGGAGACTACTACTGAAGCAACAACCTCAAGCGCAACCACAACGAGTCCAACCACTTCACGGCTTACCACCACAACCTATCCAACAACAACAACATCATATACTACGACAGAAACGACAACTACAACAATACCCACAACTACTTATCATACAACTACTGAAGGCTACACTACATTACCTGAAACAACAAAATCAGCTACGACTACTGAAGTAACAACAGAAACAACTACAACAAACCCTACGACGACTATACCTACAACATCCCCTACAACTACACCTCTTATTACTACAGAAGGCTTAACCACATTACCTGAAACAACAAAAGCAGCTACGACTTCTGAAACAACAACAAAAACAAAAACTACAACAAATCCTACCACGACCATACCGACAACTTTCCCCACAACGACCCCTCTTACTACAACAGAAAGCTTATCTACGTTGCATGAAACAACAGAGTCAGCTACTACTACTGAAACAACAACAGAAGCTAAAACTACAACAAACCCTACCACAACCATACCAACATCCCCCACATCTATCCCACATACTACTATTGAAGGCTCCACTACGATGCCTGAAACAACAGAATCAGCTACGACTGCTGAAACCACTACAGAAACAGTTACTACAACAAATCCTATCACCACCATACCAACAACATCTCCTACTACTACAACACCACCAACCACACCACCTACTTTACCGATTACCACGACTGAAGTTTTAACAACACTGTCACAAACATCAAATGCAGCTACAACTGCTGAAGAAACTACAGAAGCTGTAACGACAATCAGACCAACAACCACCATAACAACCACATCCCCCACAACGATCCCTCTAATTACTACAGAAGGCTCCACTACGATGCCTGAAACAACAAAATCAGCTACGACTGCTGAAGCCATGACTACGCAAGCTGTAACGACAATCAGACCAACAACCACCATAACAACCACGGAGAAAATTGTTACAACTGCTTCAGAAACAACTGAGGCGGAAACTACAGTAGTTTCTACAAAACCTATTACAACTATCTTTGAAACAACAACCGAATCAATAGAAACCACAACGGAATTATCCACTGCACCCACCACTGTCCAAACTACAACACTTCCGACCACGATTCCCCCAGAGACTACTCCCTATGAAACCACTGCTGAAATCACAACAGAAACTATTTCAGAAACAACCACAAAGCAACAAACCACGACCATGAAAACCACCACAATGTCAGAAATAACCACTGAACAAGAAGAAACCACCACTGAAACTACAACTAGAGAGGAAACAACAGTTTCAGATACTTTCTCAACAACTGTATCTCCAACAACTGAGTCTGAAATTACCACATTACTTCCTACAACATCGTCACAACCCACTTCTCACTTCGCACCAACAACACCATTACAGACAAAAGAAATTACTACCACACTTTTACCATTCGAAACAACACCTATGGAAACAACGACAGAGGGTTTAACGACAGAAACGACAACGACATTGCAGACAACATCTCAGACCACTCAGGAAGAGATTACCGCAGAAGGAACAACTACATCAGAGTCAGCAACTACCTCAGAATCTAGAACCACACCATCTTCACCAATGGCAGAAACGACCACTGCTGGCTTTACAACGCGCGAAGAAACAACTACGGCAACTACAGAAGTACCGTATACAAGTGAAGAAACAACTGCCGCAGCAACAACTGATACTTCATCAGAAACGACGGTCGTGACAACTGAAGGTACCTTCATCAAGCCACGCTCATCTCTCATACCAGAAACCATTCAGATATCATTTCGATCGACCATGAACATCCTTTCAGTCATTCATTGGTGTATGGTATTTCAGCATATCTGGGTATATGTATTCATCCATACAGTAGTGACTGTTGCCTCCTGCTCCAAAACTCGCTGACAAATATGGTGCGCTATGAACTCGACTGAAAATAAGAAGGACTTACATGAGAGAAAAATATAGAAATATAGTATAATAATATAAATCCAGCCAATCTTTTTATTGCAATTTTTATTTCGAGAAAGCGCACAAAATTGAAACTCTTCTACCCAAACTGCGAGAGTCATATATTTAAAGCTCGTTTATTTCAGCTGATATATTTGTCTTTTCTAAGAGATTGCTCGTCTTCTACGAAAAGTGTTTGACCTTGCACATATATTAAATCATTTGGAATACACTTAAAAGAAGGAGCATTGCAATAATAAGTTGAGTAAGTTTATGATTTACGCGCTAATGTTGGAGATATCTTTTCAATCAGGTACCACTTTCAAGTATAGAATTTAGATGCCGATTCAAACTGGCTAAGTACTCACTCTGATGATAGTGCAAAGCTTAAGAAGTAATACAATTATCGTTGCAAATATCAACGTGGACGCGGTGTAGTAGGGGTGGGGTGGTGTCCACTTAAGTTACGTAAAAGGAGTCCGTCACGTTTCACTTCAAACCCAGCAACTCAAGCAACATTTACATTGTTGTATTGATCAACGCATCGTAATTTATATTGCATCTGTCATCTTGGATGAATTTAAACCAAGCAAAAATCGAATGCCATTTTCTGAAGGTGTGCGTTCACCAATGACAGAAACTTCGACATTCTTTAGTGGAGGAACAACTGACGCAAACCAACCAACCGGCCAAACTTCACTGGCAAGCGGGCAGACCCAAGCGACCGAGATAATGACTGGCAGCGCGTCTAGCACTGTTCCGTCTACGGAAGAAGTTACTCGACCCGAATGTTGTCCCGAGGAATGCACAGAAGGTGAATTCATCGTCAGGATGCATCATCGTCATCGTGATCATCATCATCATCATCATCAACGTTACCATTGAATATGCAGCCGGTCATCTATTAACAGATCATCTCGTTCAAAATTAAAACCGTCACCACATGGACAACACCCTTGCAATTTCATCCCTTTGCGCAATATCTGAATTTATATTTTAATTGCAACATGTCATGTGCACATAATATACCTCATTGTTACATTTCATGCACCGATGAAAATATATAGTTTTGGGGGAATTTGTTTACAACTTGTACCCTAATAATTATCTCAAACAACACTGTAGATTGACCAACACGCTATTAAGTATTATACTAGTACACAACTTTCATCACAGCATTTACCTATCATCACCACAGTTATGAATGCATTAGGACAATTTCATGAGAATGGCTTCTCTATTGTCACCTTAAAGATGAAGTTGAGTTCTGGTCATGCGATTGCATTGTGAAAGAAACGGTGTGGAACCGACCAGAAAAGGTTGATCATCTAGCATATAAGAGTTTGTGTGTATTGCAAGGTTCTGGAATCATCAAAATGATAAGAAATGTGACCAAGTCTTGGTAAAGTTACAAACACTTGCACAGAAAGATGTATATGGGACTACACGAACACGTGGCGTAAAAAGCCGGCCCCCCCCCCGATTTTTACGATGTTACATGCATATTTAGAATATGAAGGCATTTGAAGAGCCATGCTTTTCAGGGAACATGTCTTAACTGATGTTCTTCCACACTTGCATAATAAGAATGAGTAATGCTCACAATTTATTTTTCACCTCTTCCCAGAACTCAACCTTCTCTTTAACATCCCACTTATGTTGCTCTAATTTCAAACGTCCCCGTAATACCATTTACAGTGCATTTCACTCTGTCATATAATACACCCCTTCACGTCGGCGCATGCGCACTCTTGTACCGTGAAAGGGTGTATTATGCGTTTCCACAAACACCTTCTTGTCATTAATACATTGCGATCAGAAGTAGCCACACTAATCTATAAATACGGATTTTTCTTTTCTTTGTGATATCATACTTTGTATAAGTTAAGTAGTTGAATGAATACTTCGATTTCATGGCGAGACCTAACACAGCAATATCCTTGTTTGTTGCGTGTACAGAACTGCGTAAATTTGTGAGGGTAACATTTGTATTTCTTGTCCCATGCCAAAGTCAAAATTTTTTAAAATATTTAATGCTAATATGTTCATGATGGGCTCGATTCGAAACTACTTAGTTCTTTATACAATTCTCTTCTCCGTTGTTAAAAAGGGCGTTACTTGTGTCAAAATGATAGCAGCATTTTTTCGCTGCAAATTTACAGTTTGTTTTCCCTGCTTGAAAAGACACTATAACGAATGTGTTCACATACTGCACCACACCGGCGTATTTTCAACGCCCTGAAATATTTGAGATGAATAAAACCATTCTCCAAATGACGGAAACTTTATTTCTCCTCTTAATGTTTGTAATCATACAGCCACTCCAACTGTTCCTTCTACACCTTCTACACCTTCTACACCTGAGACAACTACGGAGGGTAAGTCTTCTAAACAAACTTATTTTTTAATTTCACCATGCTTTTGTTCATTCATTCTATAATTTCTTTTGTGAACATCCACAATTTCTGTGGATCGTTAATTCAAACATTGGTGGATGCTTGTTTATTTATAATCAATGTGTTGATGTAAGGCACATTGGGTAATATTCTGTTTGTTTTTCATTATACATTAATGAGAATCATTTGTATGTGTATGTAATATATATATATATGTGCACGTATGTATAATATTTAGACTATGCGATGTCTGCCCATAACCCTGAAAAGTCGGGGAGGAATAGACATCTCGTATCTTTCTTTGTATACATAGTGTAGTCAAGTCCTGCCTCTGGGCGATAGTTGAGTTATCTTGGCCCTATGTTTCTTTAGCGGCCTCGTGACTCGGGACTACATGCCCCGACTACATCAATACTAAGCATACGTGTTATAAGTTTTGACATCAGAAAGTCTAATGGTGGATCCAGCATAGAATGGACCTGAGCTACCCTAAGTAATATTGGTCCAGCGGTCGATTCGCCTATCTGTATATCAACTTCTGAATACGCCACTGGTACCCCTCATTACGTCATACGTTCATTCTGTGTTCGGAATTTTCCGAATATATATTCTATTCATGAATTATGTGTTTATCTTGTGTTTTGAGCATAACTTATTCTAATTTTATATTCATGGAATTTGAATTCATCTTGTCGTGTGAATGATGTTGATGAAGGCTGATTTTATTCTTCCTTGATGCCATCAGTGGGATGTCTAAATTTCATATTGGCACATTATCCAGTGAATAATGCGTATTTCGTTTTACTTGAGGTCATTTATTATTGTCAGTATTTTTGTTGTTTGATTTTTTTTTTCACATGATAAACACTTCAAAACATGTTGTTACCCGCTACGCAATAAATGTGGCTGTTTAATTAATGTAATCATTTCAAGCTCAGTAGCTGTCGAATATACATGTGTTATCTCCCCCAATCTGTTGTCTCTGTTCATATTCTCTTGAGGATATCGTATTTTCATCGTACGTCTATCCGCATATTCCGTTGAATAAATCCGTTGCGAATACTTCTTCCCCTTACTTCGTATCGAATGACAATTTGTTATCATAAGGAGAAGCGCATCTTATGGGTTTGATTGCTATCATAGCCTAATCCTCGTCCGTTCGAACAGTATATCTGAGTTTCACAAAAAGAATGTTTAAAGCTTAAAAAACGGGAAAAAAAGTTTAAAAAGGCCCTGATTTAATATCGATCATTCTATAACAAGTACGATATAGGGCAGCGTTTTTCAACCTTTTTACAGTGACGGCACCCTTTTAAGATAAAACAAGTTTGGAGTCACCCTCATGTAAAAATCATGACAGAACATTCATTTTCCATCACTCAGGTACACATCAAGTGCAATCTTGTTCCTAAGCAATGACATTTTTAGTATGATAAAAATGTTATTTTGTAAAAAAAATAAAAAAATAAAAAATAAAAACCATAAGATAACCTCGCTGCCAAATACATGAATACAAAAGTCATATATTCGGTCACCTCGATGCATGAAGTAAAGGAAACTCGGGTATTTCGTTGTCCTGAATCATCCTGTATCTAAATGTTCGTAAAAAGATGTTTTTTGGGCACCTCGCTGTCAAAGATATATCCTGGCACCTCTTTGACTAATGATGTGGGTATTCAGGCACTTCCCTGCCTGAAATCACACTGTTTCTAAATGCTGCGAGGTAGTGAAGCGAGCGACAAAAAACAAACACCTAATTGTCTTTAAAATGTTATTCCTTCACGAAAATACATAGCGGTTTCAGATATTTTGTTTCCAAGAAATTGACGATATTATCAAAAATTGATCCAAAAAAAAAGTAAAGAAAGATTTTTAATTAAATTCTCTCGCGGCTTCCCTAGACATGTCCTGCTGCACTCTGGTTGATAAACGCTGATATATATAGGGCATGTCGCAAGCGACCGGTGTCCTTTTTTGCACCCTCCATTTGGTTGTACCCCTTCACAATTCCGGATTTTCCTGGAGGCCATTCAGTCACACCCGCATCGAACAATACATGAGATTGTCGATTCCATCATGCTTTCATCACATGATCATGACGTCAGTTGTCTTCCATGAATGGTGTCTCTTCATTTCACATCAGGTAACATTCCATTCAGACTTTTATCAATCATTCGGTTATCAGAATCGTAATAAGATTATCTCGTTTCATATCCATATCATTAATGTCATTTATATTACACGAAATATGATATACTTTGTTGAGAGTAAAATATGTATCAGTAGGGATGACGTTCTCCATCTGCTAATTTGTGGTTCTATTGTAATAGATCTAGATAAACATATCTCAAAGTCTTTAATTTCCCCCTAACTAATGCTAAAGTAGACATAATACAAATTATAATACAACCTTTCAGAAATGTTATCGATCACTATTAGGAATATATAATTTGTCATTTCAGTTACTTATTACGACAAAGAAGAAGTTGAACGTTCGGCTTAAAGAAATTATTGGTGAAATTGGCATGTGCCTTCCTATTGGCAAATGTTTTATAGGTTACATAAGTCATGTACGAAATACTATTCTAAAATGCTAGTATACCTTTTGCTACTTTGTAACATTCCGTTTCAACAATAGTGTAGATTTGACGTTTCATAGACTCTTCTGCTTAACAAGTTTAATCAAAGGACTGTCTTAAACAAATTTATCCGCAAAGTCATATCTTGTTTAGGATGTGTAGTTGTGTGTTTGTTGGAAAGCTAGCTTTTCTGTTGATACTGATTGCATTTGAAGTGTTCTTACAACATTGGATCAGGACTACACACCCTCAAGAAAGATAACCGAGAGTCCTTTTCAGGACTCCTCAATCCTCCCTCTCTCTCTCACATGGTGCACCCGCAAGCCTAATGTATGATATTGGATCTATATACTTAATTATGACAACGAGTTATGGATTCGTAATGAAATTCTTTTCCACACAGGTGGATGTGAGACAGTAGAGGTGTGCGAGTGGACGTCGTGGTGCGATGACGAGGCTCAAACCGGCGACAAACTAACGACCGACGACGACGGCGAGTACGAACTCATTGAGACTTGCCGAGAACTCAACCACGATGTGTGCGAAGCCCCGATCGACATCGAGTGCGAGACGGCGTTCCCACCCCATTACGGCGCCGGAGAGCTCGGCCAGACACTGACGTGTGATAAGGATCTGGGTCTGGAGTGCTCTTTATCGAAGTCGCAACCTATATGTTTTGATTACAGGATTAGGTAAGCCTCTCGCCCGTGCTCCTTTAAAACAATGATCTATCTTTCGTCATAAATCAATCCACTATATGTGGACCCTTCGTTCCCCTCCAACGCAAGCATTCTGGAAAAAAAAGGACAGAAGTCTTTTATATAGTCAAGCGCGCATAGAGACCATTTTAAACCAGAAAGGCACCTGAAGAATATAATGGTATTTGATATATTTAATATCTTTTTCGTCAGAAAATCTTTGGACCACAAAAGCATATCAGAAATATGTTTTTTGTCCTGTGCGAGAGATTTCTTCCCCTTTCTATCTTGACAATAATCTTAAATCATCTCGACATGCTTGATGCGCCTGGAAAAGAATTGGCAAAGGTCATTTACTTGCTCGATACAGGACACATCGTGTATATATATGTTTTTTTTTGTAAAACTCACGTCCTCGCATCGAAACAAATTGATCAAATATTCTCATATGAACAAATAACATCAGATTTATCTAAATCTCTAGAGAATTATAAAAACCCCAAAGATAGGCGCCTACATAAAAAGAAGCATAGGCATGATTGGTGCCCAGAACTGATATGTTTCCTATACACAATGGACTGCCACAAATTTCTAGGTTTTCTTATTTCTATCGTGGTTCTATTAAAGCTATAGTTTTACCTGTAAATTTATAGACCCGATGAAGATACATATACAATACATAAGCAATCGGAATTGCATGAAAATCAGCATTATTTTATCCACTGATTATGACGAATGAGCCTTTTTCATTAATTTTTGTATTAAATATTGACTAGCGTTGTAATTTTGTTCATCACCTTACTCACTTAAATCACTTTGGTCAATTTCTGTCATCCTGAATTAGATGACCGACATAGTTTATCATAATGAGAACGAAACATGTTAAAGTAAAATATTTCTTCCGGTGAATGATGTGTGATACTCGTGCTGTTTCTTTAGATTCCTATGTTGCCGCAATGTTCCTAATGCTCCCAGCTGTCTTACGACGACATCTCCAACAACTATACAAACTACACAAGAAACAACTACCAAATCAACCACACCGATGGAAACTGAAACAACAGCGAAACCAACAACAAAGACGGTTGGGACTACAAATTCAGGTAATGTCTGTTTACAAAACACCTTTCATTTGATATTGTCCTAAGCCAATTAGACACACTTTCCACAGGGTCTATTCATGAAGCTATAAAAAGTTAAAAGCAGTGACTCAGAGATTATGCAGAAAATGTATCACAATTGTATTACTATCATTGGAAAATGCGGAGGAAAACTAAAGTGTGTTATTAGTTACAATCACGCAAATGGTATCCATGTCCCTGAACAAGAAACAATGGAGCTTGAGAGACCACTGTGGCATTATGTTTAAAAAAATTGATGGTCATACGAGAAGTCCTGGGTTTGGAACTTGCTCGCTGCTTACATCCTTGAACATGTGGTTTGTCTACATGAGCTCTTCTTGACCCAAGTGTATTGAATATGTACCTGGCAAGACTGGGGGTAAGAATGATTGTAGGGTTCACAGGAAAAGCAATATTAATACTGTGATACCTGCCCCGGGTTTATTGGTAATCATAATTTGGCCTTGTTTAACGAGTGTATAGCAACATTGCACATTCATATTGCTCTTATTGTGGAATTCCGGGTACCCATTTACACTTGGGTGAAGAGTGGCAAATGTAGATCAATGTCTTGTTAAAGAACA